TTTGATCGAAAATAAGGACAAGCGGAAGGTGTTGTTCCATTCTGCAGACGGGCCGAAAGGTGCGCAAACCCGTATGTCCGCAGACAGTCCTTTCAACTAGGAACGGGCACGGGGCCCCCTCAGCCTCCCTGTCCCTTCACGGCCAGACAGGACCACCCGTCAGACAGGATAGGCTCCAGACCCAGACAGCAATTCCAGAGCAAACGGCCCTTTTGAGGGGGGTGTCGGCCCTATAGAAGGTCCAAGTGACTCTCGAGCTGCCCCCCATAGGTGGCAGGATGGCGCTCTTCACCCCCCAGTGGGAGGCCACCACTACAGATTCCTGGGTTCGCCAAACCATTCGATACGGTCTGATCCTGGAATTCATATCCAGCCCCCCAAGGCGCTTCATTCTTTGCCCTCAATCAAGGAACCCTGTCAAAAGCAGCCTCATGTGAGAGGCCATTCAACACCTCCTGGAGATAAAGGCCATAGAATCAGTGCCAACAGGACAACGGGGCAGGGGATTCTACTCCATCCTCTTTGTGGTTCCCAAAACCTCGGGGGGGGGGTGGAGGGCGATTCTAGACCTCAAGGATTTGAACCGCCATATCGCATACCGAAAGTTCAAGATGCAAATCCTTCAGTCCATCTTGGGCAGTGTAAGGAACGGAGACTTCCTGATGTCCATAGACTTCACGGAAGCGTACCTCCACATCCTCATCTTCCCCAACCACCGACAGTTCCTCAGGTTCTGCTACGCGGGCCATCACTACCAATATAGAGCCCTCCTGTTCAGTCTCTCAGCAGCTCCAAGGGTCTTCACCAAGGTCCTGGCGGTGCTGGCCACACACCTAAGAATGGTACCAGTGCGCATCCAGTGCTACCTGGACAACATTCTCATTCAGTCATCCTTCCTTCAGGCCGCCCAGTCGGACCTAATGTTGACGATCAAGGTCCTTCAGGAACACAGGTTCTCGGTGAACTTTCAGAAAAGTCAGACCGTCCCCTCCACCCGTCTCCTACACCTGGGCGCCATCATAGACACACTCAGCTGTCAGGTCTACCTGTCACAGGAGCGCCGGGACAGCATCCGGACCCTGGTCCTCAAGGTTCACAGGGAGCAAGTAATACCACTGGTCCTGCTCTCCCAGATCCTAGGGAAGATGGTCTTGTGTATTGCAATAGTCCCTTGGGCCAGACTACACTCCAGGGACCTCCAATGGTTCCTCCTCCCCTTCCAAAGGTGGGGCATCAGCTCTTCCAACCAAAGGGTAAAGGTTCCCCCCCAAACCCTGCGGTCTCTCAGGTAGTGGGCCTCGCCAGCAGTAGCCAGAGGGTCACACTTCAAGGAACCCACCAGGCTCACACTCACGATGGATGCCAGTCTGTTCGGCTGGGGAGCACACCTGCAGTCTCAATTGGCCCAGGGACGATGGTCCCACGCAGATCTGAAACACAATATCAATTGGTTGGAGCTCAGAGCCATACACCTGGCCCTCTGCCACTTCCGCAACAGGGTGGCGAGGCAACATGTACTAGTCCTCATGGACAATGTAACGGCAAAGGCCCACGTGAACTGGCAAGAGGGCACTCAATCCAGGGACCTCGTGACTGAGGCCCAGGCATTGGGCCTCTGGGCAGAGACCAACCTGTCCTCAAGACCGAACACATCTCCGGGGAGGCGAACCGACAAGCGGACTCTCTCAGCAGGGCGGCCATAGACCAGTCCAAATGGTGCCTGCATCCGGATCTCTTCGTGGAAATAGTGCAGAGGTTCGGACAACCAGTCATAGATCTGTTCACTTCACTGACCAACTCCCAACTCCCAAGGTTTTTTTCGTGGTTCCCCTCCCAGAGGATGGAGGGAGGGGATGCTCTCAGATGCCCATGGCCGAGGGAACTGCTTTACACCTTTCCCCCCCTTCCCCTGATTTCGGCAACCATCCGCAAGATGTTGCAGGAACGGGCGGAGGTCATACTGGTGGCCCTGTATTGGCCACGAAGACCGTGGTTCACCGACCTGGTGAATCTCTCCAGCTCCTCTCCATGGAGGATTCCCCCAGACCGCATGCCTCTCAGCCAGGGTGTTCTACAGCACCCAGAACCCCAGTGGCTGCAGTTAGCCGCATGGCACTTGAACGCCGGATCCTGATCATATCCCACAAGAGTAATTTCCATGATTTAGGCCTCCTGCCGACCGGCGACAAATCGCATCTATGACTCCACATGGAGGAATTTTTGCAATTGGTGCGAGAGGAAGCTAATAGACGTCTCGGACCTGACAATCCTGAGAATCCTGGAATACTTGCTCGAGGGCCTAGACGGGTTTAGCGCCTAACACCATCCGCAGGCAGGTCGCGGCTTTGTCCACCTTACCTGCGCCAATTCAGTGCCCCTGACACAACATCCTAGGATACGTTCCTTTCTCAAGGGCGCCACAAACACTAAACCACCCATGGTACATAGGTACCCCTCCTGGGATTTGCCACGGGTCCTGTGGGCCCTCACCAAATCACCGTTCGAGCCCATCAGCTCTTGTTCCTTGAGGTCTCTGTCCCTCAAAGTCACCTTCCTGGTTGCTATCACCTCAGCCAGGCGCATTTCTGAGCTCGCGGCACAGTCAGACCTTTGCACCTTTCACCAAAACCGGGTGGTCCTCCGACTGGACCCCACCTTCATCCCTAAGGTTAACACCCCTTTTCATAGGGCCCTAACCCGTCTCATACCTTGGAACGACAGTGGCACACACTGGACGTTCGCAGGGCATTACGCTACTATATCAAACGAATGGCGCCCTTCCGCAAATCTGAAGCTCTCTTTGTTTCCTTTCACCATGCCTCTAGCGGACAGAACGTGTCCGCCTCAACCATAGGCAGATGGATCAAGGTTTGCATTGCAGAGGCGTATGGGTCACTTTCCCTGCCAGCACCAAGCCACTTCACGGCACATTCTACTCACATTGCTGCGACCTCCGCGGCATGGGCCACACAGGCCTCTATCGAGGCCCTCCCCATTTGTACGGCATTATAAGGTAGACCGATTTGCATCGGCAGACGCTTCCTTTGGAAGGAGAGTCCTTCAGCAAGTGGCTACTGGAGATGTACCCAGAGCCCCCTCTGTTCCTCCCGCATTGGGACAGTAAGGCTTTGGTATGTCCCATTGGTGGATTCTCCATCTCCGGTGCTGGAGAAAGGGGCATTGTCTTACCTGAACGCCTTTTCTCAGCACGGAGGTGGAGAATCCACTCCCACCCTTAAAAGCAGTCAGGCTATATTAGGGATCTGGGAGCCAACACGTCGGACTGTCGTCAGCTGCTTTCGCCGTCATCAAGACTGGGAGTGGCCTATCCCAAGACAGGCATGGCACGTTTGACTGACTTGATCTAATGGGCAGGAAGGCAGAGCTAACCCATTGGTGGATTCTCCATCTCCGTGCTGAGAAGAGGCGTTCAGGTAAGACAACGCCCCTTTAAGTGTATTCAGCTCTAGCTTGTTATGCCTGCACCACCGGGCCAATTGTTCAACCTCCTGTCTATATGCAGACTCATCACCATCTTGAAAAAGGCTAATGACTGTCATGTCATCTGCAAACTTCAGTACTTTAATAGAGGGCTTCCTTGAGATACAGTCATTGATATATAGAGGAAAAAAAGCAATGGAGAGAGCACACAGCCCTGAGGGACACCTGTGCTCAATGCCCTGGTACTAGATATAATTTTCCCTAGCCTCACCTGTTGCTTCCTATCTGTCAAAAAACTGATTATCCACCTATAACTCTGAGCAAGTACAGTAAGCTGGATCAGTTTAGAGTAGAGAATTTCTGGAAGAAATTTCTGAAGAAGCTTCTTGGATGAGAAGCAAACAATAAAGTCCAGTTGCCTCTTGAAAAAGCATCTTTGGGGCAACCATGAGCTGGATGACTGAGAATCTCCATAGACATTCTGGAATGATATATTGAATGTTGAGCTGAAGTTCACAAAAAGGGCCTGTGCATAGGACCCTGGAGATTCAAGATGCTGCAGAATGTAGTGTAATTACCTATTGACAGCATCGTCTGCTGATCTATTTGCTCGGTAGGCGAACTACTGATAATCCTCGACTTATAACAGTTCATTTAATGACCATTCAAAGCTACAATAGCACTAAAAAGGTGACTTATGACCATTTTTCACATTTACGACCATTGCTGCATCCCCATAGTTATGTGATCAAAATTTGGACCCTTGGCAACTGACTCATATTTATGATGGTTGCAGTATATCTTTATGATGGATGCAATGTTCTGGGGTCATGTGATCACCTTTTGCAATCTTGTGGCAAGCAATGTCAAGAGGGCAAGTCAGCTTCATTTAACAACTGTGTTAACAACTGAAGTGATTCACTTAACAACTGTGGAAAGAAAGCATAAAATTGGGCAAAATTCACTTAACAGATGTGTCGCATAGCAACAGAAATGTTGGGCTCAATTGTGGTTGTAATTCAAGAACTGCTTGTACAAGGGGTCTATCAGTGGACCTGTGATGACTTTCACGTGACATCTGTATTATTATGATATTACCACCTTTTTTGTCATTTTTGCCATTAAAGCATAATTGAACTATTCAAAGCCTTTCCTGTTTTCAAGGATCTTGCAACCAATAAGAAAACTATCAAGTTTTTATGTTTTAAGGTGTCATTTGGATTATCAAAAAACCTTAGTAAGGCTAACTTAGGATCTAATATTGTGACCTGGGTCATAATCTATTCTATTTTGTACAAATTTAATTCAAAAAAGCTGAACAATTTTATACGACTGTCATATAGATAACCTATTTCTTTATGTTTTCTCCCAACACATAGGGGTTATATTAAATCTGAATTTATTGAAGGCTGCATTTTGTTGTTAATGACCAAATACTTATAGATGCTTTCTTGCATTGCAAACTTGTGTATTAAGGCCCAGCACCAAAAGCAAAGGATTCTGTGGTCTTATCAATACTGCCCAATTAGACCAGAAGATTTAAGTATTGATCATTGCAGGAGCTAAGAGCCAGCCATGGGCACAGTTCCAGCGCAAATCTGCTCGCCTGTCCCGCAGTTCCACCTACAGCCAGCTTTCAGCCACTTTGACTGCCGCCAGTGGTGGGCCAGACATGAGAGGGTTCCCGTCCTTCATCGGGGCTGAAAGTAATGGCAGTGGTAAGGGGCCATCATGGAATGTGGGATAGGGAGGGGTGGAGCATTGAACTAGCCATTATATTACAGCTTGTCTCTGACATCAGATTTGGAGATATGAAATTTATATTTAACTAGTTTGTTGTTGTTGTTGTATTGAGGATGGGAAGAAGAGATGTCTGTTATTAACATCAACCCTAGTCTGCTGAAGTCGTCTTCAATTTCATATCCTTTATATCTGAGTTTGAGATGTTCAGCTACAGAGTTCCAGCTGGGCAGGTAGTTACACTGCCACCATCTGTTCTTGAATAGGAAGATACCCCACTACCATCTGAATATGGAACAGAACATCAAATCCCCTTTATTCTGGAATAAGTTGTTAAATAAATTGTAACTTATAACCACCCCCGAACGGTTTTGGAAGGTACAAGAAATAAAGTAAAGACTTGAAAGAATAAGTAATTGCTATGAATTACATGAGGTCGAAACCCAGCACTCAGTAATCTGTAAAAATCTGAGTGAGCACATATCCATCAAGATAACAAAATAAATTAAATAACCCTCATGCAATTAACTAAATGTTCCCTTCCAACTTTACTAGCATTCTACAGTTTGGACTTCAATCTTTAGCCCAGTCACATGAAATATGTTTTCTTAAATGCCCAATTCCTACAAGGCCTCCAAGAGAACAAAGAAACTTTCCCTCTCTCTGAATTCCATCCCCTCCCCCTGTTTTTTGTAGAGAATAGGTCTGTATTTTAACAATACATGATTATAACTAAAAATCCTTTTAATCCTCTATAATTCATACACTACCGTCCGCACAGGTAGGAATAGGAGTATCTTTTGGATTTTCTCTCTTGAAAATGCATATCCAATGTATACATACTGTAGCTGTGGGGCCTCTGGGGATATGAGAGTCATTATTTCTTAATTCTCTTTGTACAGCTAGTAATACGTGGTTGGAGTTGGTGCCTATTGTTGCAGTCAGCGTTCATCTCTTCACTGCAAATAGTACAGAAGTCCAGCTTTCTGGCTCAGTCCATCTCTCCATCCCACTGCCCCTCAACACAGCTGCTGTAGCAAGTACCAGTGTGCCAGCCTGGCGGTTTGACCTCAAGAGAGGTGAGTGGTGGAATGCTTGTGAATCATATTTTAATGATTTGATCATTATTGTATCCAATAATTACAAACATATGAAGCAAGAAACAATACTGCTTGTATAAACAGAGGCTTTGACAGGAAACACACTGAGTGATTAATAAGATCCAAACATCCTCTCCTTCACCCATAGAAGCAAGTTTTCTGCAAGATCATAAAAATTTTAAGTGCATCTGGAAAAACATTAGGAAATTGTGCTGGCAAGCAAGAACCAAATCTGATGTGGAAGCATTTTGTTCCCAGATACAAACCTGTAGTAATGAAAGTGGGAGGTAACTTCCACTTTTCTTTTTCTTTATCATACTTTTTCTTTCCTCTTTCTTTTTTCTTGCACTTTTTATTCTTTCTTTCTATTCTCTTTTTTAAAAGTTTAGTTTGAATTGTACCTCAGCCTTCCAATTTAGAATTGATATGGGTATATATGTTTTATTTCTATAATGCTCTCTAAATCTAAATTCATTTTCTTTGTTTACCCTCACGTTTGCTAGCAGTATAAGCAAAATGCTGTCTGTTCAATACCAGACAGCATTGTTCAGTGCTATTTGGAACAGGGGTAGGCAGGGTCAATCAAACCTCCTAGCCTCTTTCAGGTTAGGGGTTAGGGTTAATGTTGAGATGCTGAAGGTATTAAATGAAGTGATGGTTAGAGTTAATACTGAAGTTATTAAGTAAAATGATGGTAATAGAATTCCAGATAGGGGAGATATTTTGAGAGCCATACCTTATTTTTAGATTGCCTATTCCCAGTTCCAATGCTGTATATCTTCTATACATGAAAACACATTAGGTGTGGCACAGACACTGATTACCATATTACAATGCTCTTGAATCATTTTGATTATAAGGAGGGGGGGTTAGTGCTGGTGACTAGTTCTCTTCCTTTCAGGTTATTTGATGGCCTTTTTAATTACTTCAGATTCAGTCATATACTCTCTTCTTAGGGCTGTGGATCCGGAATGGAACTGGACTCATCCGGAAGGAGGGGAATCAGCTTTACTGGACATTTGTGTCTCCACAGTTGGGCTACTGGGCAGCCGCTTTGCTGTCTCCTGTATCAGGTAAAATTGCCACAATCAAAGTCTCTGAGAAGTAAACTGATCTCAGTGCACACAAGAGGTTTTTTGCATATCTGGTATCATGATATGAGGAAAATTAACATGTTGGCCACTGGACTAATTATCACTTTGGAGAATGGCCCTTTGCACAGTTCCCATAGTGGTCCTTTGTAAGACTGAAAATGTCGCTGCCTTAACTAATTGAGGGATAATTTGATTTCTGAAAAGTAAATCTATCTGAGATTTCTGTATTTCTGTAACTTTATTCTATTTTCTTCAGTAAATCTTGCTAAACTGAGAGAGAATCTTGCTTCCTGTTGCAGTAGACTGCCAAGAGCTTGATACTGGTGGGAATTGTTTTGGGGTGTGGCATTTTTTGGATTATAATTTCTAGAACAACTCTCAGTTTGAGTGGAATGTTTTCCTTCTAACTTTGGGACACATGCCCTGTCTGGTTCATAGTGCATGTAATATCATGACACATGTGCAAAAGGGGTGGGGGCTTAGCACACAGCACTGTTTATTATTCCCCCTCCCCATCTTTTCTACAGACAAATTTGCCAGGGGAAGATCTTATTCTCTAAATCTTTTGGCTTTTTTAATTGTTATTTTGATTAAACTGCATTTTTAAAAAAACCTGAATGCTATTGTAAGCCATCCAGAGAATGTAATTTAAAGGACTTTATATAGATTCTCATAATAGATAGCAAATACCGTTTCCAAGTCATAAAGTTGTTTCTTTGCAGGGCTGGCGACTTCAACAACAGGAATTAAAGATATTGCCACCTACCATACTATCTTTCTACTTACTATCTTGGGTGCCCTGGCATTGCTGGTCCTCATTTTGCTCTGCCTGCTTATCTACTATTGCAGGTAAGTGCCACACTTTCTCTTGTCTCTTCTTCTGCCTCACCGCTTGTTTCTAACTCGAGCCCATTTCTAAAACCATTTTTCATAGTCCTACTAAGCACCAGTACTTTAACAAAGGCTTAATTATTGCATATTATTTTATTTCATTTGGATATTGCTATATTTACTTTATTTGAATTATTGCAGTCATTGATCTTGAGTCCATGAGATTATGTGCATCTCCTGTTTCCACCTAAACTCAGAAATTACAACTGCCCACCATCAATAAAATCAGCACCATAAAATGTTTACTTCAGGGAGTTTCATACAGGGCATTTTGAAAACCAACACACCCCTGCATGCAATCAGTTGTAGCAGAGTGTAGGCATGGCAGCTCAGCTGAGGGTTGCAGGATTCCAATTCTTTGGAATTTGACAGCTGTTCCAAACACTTTGATACTGGTCGCTGGACAATGTCAGGCAGTCTTTGTGGCTGATTAGTCATGGATCAGCCACTTTCCTGTCCTCATCTCCAAGGCCCATTTTTTTCAATCTCGGCCTTTCTTCCCATATTTTAGTTAAGTTAAATGGTTTCAAACTTTTTCAGGCCATAGAACATGTGGGCTAAAATTTCAGTGTACCAGCCCTTTCTTTTTCACTATATAAAGAAAAAGTCTATGGACAATTCTGAAGAGTTGGAATTAAGGCATGGGCAGATGGCTGAGTGCTTTCAATTTTGTTCCCTCACGGATAATTTTATTTTCTCCTTAATCCCTAGGAAGGAAGGTCCTCCTCAGTCGCACAGAACTATTCAATTCCTTATGGAACTTTAGGGTTCCAAAGCCAGATTTATCCATTGATCTCCTTAGAGAGCCACAAGTGTCACAAATAGAGGGCCTGATATATTTCTATGCAGTTCAGGCAAATTAGATCTGAAAATTGACCTGGACTTGGAAATGAATACTTTGTCAACCCCAAGCATTCTCTGGATACATTTAAATTCTGTTACTCAGTATGCTGAATTTAAATTATAGAATTCCCTGATACCCCAGGAGACTATGAGTTCTAATCCTGGCTTAGGTACAAACCCAGCTAAGTAACATTATGCACTTTCTCTCAGACGTAGGAAGGAAGCAATGACAATCCCGTTCTGAAATACTTTGCCAAAAAAACCTGCTGGGTTTGTTCAGGTAATCTCCAAGAATTTGATATGATTGAATGGAGCAAAAAAACTGTCCCAAAAGAAAGAAAGCAGATGGAGATGGGAATTCAAGAGGAGAAAGAACACGATTTAAAGACCTGGACTATTACTAAAAAAGCAAATCCTCAATTCACAAGAGTGAAAGAGCCATTATTTTCTTTGGAATAGAGCCATTTTAATCTTCGTTTCCGCAAATAGAAACATTTTGGCAGTGAATTATACATTTACTGCTGATAACTTTGTCACCCTTTCTTTGTTCTCTCTCTCTGCCCCTAAGTAGATATTTGGTTTGGATGCATGAGAGAGATTTCAGGTATATTCTACACTTGTTCAAACCTTAGAAGAAAGTTCCCTAGCTACTTCATTGCCATTAGTTCCAAATGAGAAACAGTGATTTCTTTTCCTGGGCAATTGATTTTTTTTTTGTCCAATGCATTCAAGTGCATTCAAATAAATGGATTCCAATGCATTTATTTTAGGAGCAAAAATAAGTCTTCACTTATAATAGTTAAATATATTTCACTTGGGAGGAGAATCATAGTTTGCTGGGATCCCAGAATTGCCAGTTGCTTATTTTTAAAAGATGTTTTACTATATTTTATTAATACTTTTATTTATTCATGTCTGCGTGTCTTCTATTTTGGGTATTGCTTATTCTGGAGGAAACAATTCATCGGGTGGAAATGTTCTTTCCTATTGTGACGGTATGTGAAAAAGACCTTGAGAAATAAGACGAAGAGATGCTGCCTACGGAATTGTCAATAAAACATAGACCGTAGATTCATAATGGGCAGAGAAAGAATCTCAGATCTGACCCTCTCTAATTTCTCTGGCCAGCTCCCATAGGAATTCAGGAGCATTTGTTGAATTGTCATCTGTTATGCTGCCAAAGGTTGAAACGAATTCTGCCCCAGCTGTTAGTTGTATCACGGCATTCTGCAAATTGGTCATCTGTGCATCCACTGCTGCTGGTATTACAACAACATAGCAGCCAGAGGCTCAACAAACAGCAGATTTCCTTGAAGACTGGAGGCCATTTCTGAAATTCCTCTCTTTGGAAGGGAGTAGCAGACTTGCAGAGTGGTCAGCCTTCCCAGATAAACCAGACAAGAAACACAAACAGATGAATTAATTCTACTTCATTGTAAGGATATATCACAGATAATCCTTGACTTATAACCACAATTGGGGCCAAAATTTCTGTTGCTAAATAATGCAGTCATAAAGTGAAACATCATGTGACTGCATTGCTTAGTGACAGCAATCTTGGCAGTTCCAATTGCAGTTATAACTTTAGGCATGCAAGTCATTACTCAGAAAGTGGAGGGAGTCCCAAATAAGCCCCAACAGTGCAGTGAAGAGCTGCTACACCTCAAAAAGTGCCAAGTGCTTGGGAAGTCCCAATGGTGTTAGCACAAAGCAGCTGTCCCAGGCTAGCCACCCTTGCTGCCCTGCATTCCACCACCTTTGCCATCTTCATTCTACTACTGACAAGTTTGCCCAGCCTAGCCCTTTGCAAGGCAGCGGCTGGCATTGCCAATCCTTCTTCCCAAGGCCATTTGCTCTGTTCTCCAAGTAGCATAAAGACTTGTCCAAATTTCATGTGGCCTTCTTGCAAGGTTTTGGAAAGCTGTAACTTGATCAACACTACACATGATCTCTGGAAAGCTTGGCATGAGCAGGAAGGCCATGGAGTGTAGGGGAACCAAAAGGGCAGAGATAGGGGGAGATGGAGAGAGGAACTGAAGCGTCCCTGCAGTCATAAATGCGAGCACATTGCCAAGAGCCTGAATTTTGATCACATGACCAAACAGGCACTGCAATGGCCATAACTTTGAGGAACAATTGTAAGTCCATTTTTTGCAGCACCATTGTGACTTTGAAAGGTCGCTGAATGAATGATTGTTGAATGACTTGTTACAGATGTCAAGGACTATCTGTAAAAGAATTTTGCAAGGCTGAAAGTACAAATCTCCCACCATCTCCCTTATAGCCTAAGAGGTTAGGGGATAATCCCTTCTGAATCTCTTTCTCCACCTATTATGCAGCTGTGGGCTATGCCTGCCTTCTCTTATCTGATTGTTCTCTAGGCAGAATCTTTTCATTCTGTTTCTGAAGATCTGTCTCACATATATTACATCCATCTTATTAAGTGACACCTTTCCAGAGGAATACCTCTGGACAACTTTTGTGCAGAGACATTCCAGTTGAAGTTAATAAGATGGGAACTTTCAGGCATCATAGAAGACCTTTTCTGTGCAGAGGATGCAGTATGTAAGAACTTGAACTATGATATCTTTCCCTTAGTACAGATCTTTGTAACCATTTTCTTTCTTTACTTCTTCCTCTCTAGGAGACTATGTCTCAAGCCACGCCAACAACATAGAAAGCTTCAGCTTTCTGGGGTTCTGGATGCATCCAAGAAGGATCAAGCTACATCAATGTCACAAATTAATCTTATTTGCACTAGCCATATGGAGACAGCTTCATCCAATGGAGACATAGATGTGCATACACCCATCTTCAAATCAGCCTTCTCCTCCTCCAGGGAGTTTGAGAGCTCCCGTGAGGAATTCTTCAAGCAAGTGCCAAACCAGAAGATTCGTCATGCCAGCAAGGCCTCCACAATAGATACACTGAACCAGCGAGGTGGTGCCAAGGATGACTATCCCCGAATGGTGGAGGGCTATTCACTGAAGGCAGCCCGGTCCATGGATACCCCTGGCACACTAGAACCCCCTCTCTTGGACGATTACAAGCGCAACTATTCACATCAGCGTGTAGAAGACAAGAGCAATGAGACACTACGCAAACAAATGCGGAATGATAGCAAGTCTTATTTGCAGGAGCCCCCATCACCACCACCTCTCCCAGCTCCTTTTGACCATTATATGGCCCATAAAGCGGATGCCAAACCTCCTGATTTCATGATGTCGCAGTCTGTAGACCACCTGGCCCGTCCCACCTCTCTGAGTCAACCTGGACAGCTAATCTTCTGTGGTTCTATTGACCATATGAAGGATACAGTGTACCGAAATGTCATGCCAACTCTCGTAATTCCTGCCCACTATATGCGCCTGGGTCCAACAGAGCAAACTACTACGGGCTCTGAAAATCAACCAGATATGGACCCAACTGCCATGGGACTCCCTCATCAATTTGGTCCCCAGGAACAACAGAGGCAGCAGCAGCTCCTCCAACAGCAGCTGCAACATCCTCAGTTCCAACTACAACAACATCAAGTGGAAGACCCGGAGGGGAAGGGTTGGGGACCCCACACACAATCTGTTAGTGGTTCAGTTACCATACCTGTGTTGCTGAATGAGTCCACTATGGCCCAACTGAATGGGGAGCTACAGGCACTAACTGAGAAGAAGTTGCTGGAACTGGGTGTAAAGCCACATCCACGAGCCTGGTTTGTATCTCTGGATGGACGTTCCTCTCAAGTCCGTCATTCTTACATTGATCTCCAGGGCCCTGAGAGGAATCGCAGCAATGATGCCAGTCTGGACTCAGGTGTGGATGTCAATGAAGCCAAGCCCACCAAACGCCTGAAGGAGGAGCGCATGGGTCCAACATACTCTAAACTGGTCTTTGCCGATGCTGACACAGAACAAAGCAGCAGCGAGAGTCGCACTGCCGTTTGTTCTCCTGAGGACAACTCACTCACCCCTCTGCTGGATGAAAACACTGACCACCGTGCTGCTACAATTCCACGACATGGGCGCAGCCGTGGCAACAGCTCTCGCAGCAGCAACAGCAATAGCGAACTGCGCCGTGACTCAATGACCAGCCCAGAGGATGACAGCAATGAACCTTCTGAAGGAACTGATGACCAGGGAGACAAAAAGAGTCCATGGCAGAAACGTGAGGAACGACCTCTCATGGTCTTCAATGTGAAGTAGTCAGCAGGAGGAAGACAGTTCACCCTCATTGCATACTTTCGATGGGGGAGGATGAGGCACTAGAACCATGGAGATGAGTATTTGCCTTTCAGTCTGGTCTGGCTTCTTTTTCTCTCCATCTCATCAGATGCTCAGCTGAACTGAAGCCCTTATTTTTTGACAGAAGAGATGAACGAACAGAGCAAGAAACAATGCAGCCAAGCTGCATTAATGTTTTTTCCCCAGCCACTAAAGATGCTGTCTTGCTCAAGGCAGGTTAAGAAGTGCCACAGCAAACTACCTAAGAAAATTTGGCCTCTTTCTGTTTCCACCAACCACTGTGAACCAAGCAATCTGGGGCACAGGAATTACAAAGATGTAATGACAGCGAAGGAAGTTTCATTGTTCTGTAACTCTTGTCAATTTGTGGAGAGGATACTGCTTGTCCTATGTGGGTTCCACTTCCTAAAATCCCTTATTTTCCACCCAGTTTGGTATAACCAGAACTAGTGCTGTCCCCTTGCTCTGACAGTTTGATAACAGAGGTTCAGTGGAAAGGCATGACTCAATTCTACAACCCTCTTGCCTTCAGGGCTTTGTACAGTTCTTTTTTAAAATTAAGTCCTGTGGATTTTCCAAGCCAGAAGCTTGTAGGGGTGGGTGCCCAGGGCTGAAGGTTGATGTCCATCTGTGCCTATCCTTTTATGATCCAAAAACTTGGATTACAGTACAGGGCCCAGACAAGGGGGGTGGGTTTGGGAAAATTTGGGCATTAGTGTGGGTAATATACATATGTGTGTGCATGCGTGTACGTCAGTGGTGGATGGGAGTCTGAGCCATGTGTGTGTGGATAGATGTGTCTGACCTCGCTGCCAAATGAACTCCTTATTGGAGTATCTCTGTGCCCCCCCTTTTTTTTCTTGTGCCTGCAAGTCCTCTGTCTCTTCCAAGTGCCTTCTGGCCCCAATGTCTCCCTCCCTCCGCCCAACCAGGCAGCTGTGAATGAAATCTTGATATCCATAGAGGCATACAGGCATACCATCTGTTCATAGCTCCTCAGATCTTCCTTTCTGTATAATCCCCTTTTTTCCTGCAGTGAATGCTTGGCAGAGGGATCAAGAAGGGGGATTGCTGAAGGAAAAAACAACTGGCACATCTCTGCTTGTAAACACAGGGGCCAACTTGCTAAGGCATCAGCACAGACTTAGGGAACTGAGCCAACCAGCAACACAGTTGTGAGGTTCCTAAAGAGCAGCAGGACCAGGTCTTGGTCTTACAAAAGTAACAATATGCATGATGAGCAATTCCAAGTAAGGCGTTTGTGGAGATCTTGGAGCCCATTGTGGCACGTTATGATTTCAACTGAAGAAGGGGATGGGGAACTACTAGCCAGCCCCACACTGAAGTTTTTGTCAATCAAATTGGAAGATAATAAATGGGGATGGGCATATTGTAGCTGCAGATAAGAATGTGGAATCTAAGAATCTTTTTAGCTTTTTGCTTTTGTGTTTAAGGATAGTTGGGCTTTTATTGAATCAGTTAGGCTCACATCCTTTTGTAATAGCAGAAAGCAGCAAAGACTGAAATAATTTAGGGAAATATTTTATTTCAGACTCACCTTTATACCAAAAGATCTTAAAATAGAGGTGGAAATTCTTTTTTCTTTTGAAGGCAACATTCTTCAGAGATAAACTGGGAGGCTACATGTTAGTGACAGCTGGGTCAGAACTGAAAGTGGGTAGGGTTTTCTCCCATTCTTTTCCTTTCAAACCCACACCCATCATCCCCAGCCTTGCAAGCTGCTAAGAAAGGACAGATCCCTCATTAGAGGTCTAAGTTGGTTACCTAGAGCACATCTTCCCCTACTGTTTTAGTTACTTGATCTATTTGTCTGCATTTCCTGGTTTTCTTATTATTTTTTTCTATTTCTGATCGAGTGTCATTTTTCTCATTCTGTTTGGAGATATTGTTTTTTCTGAAGGGCACTTTTTCTTTGCCAAGATCTGGATATTCTGACTTAAAAATAGGTCTTTAATCATTTCAACTTTAGTTGAGATTTTCAGAATAGAATATAACTTACACAGTGTGAGTGGAGCACTTACTATATGCTCAGAAACATTGGGTTTTATTTGCTTGCTCCGGGGTGAGCCTTATTAATGAAAAAACGGTTCTGGGGCTGAGCCCTATTTGTATAAAGACTATTTTTTCCATTATAACTCAGATTAATTTTTTTCAGTTTACTAATTGCCTTGGGATGATTTCCTTTTAATTATTTGAGTAATTTCCATATTTTGCCTTCTTCCATAGCATTACATTGAATCATTTTTATGTTCATAGGATTTTTTTCTGAAAGAACATCATTAGAACCACTGATGTGACTAATGCAAGATTAATACTTGTCAAAGTGCTTCAGAAATAATCAAATTATGTACATGAAGTCTTGGCTAAAAATTGCAGAAAATGTTCATGTCTGATTAATTTTGCACCCTATTCATTTGAGAACTATTAATGTTCTGTAAATCATGTATAACCTTTTTCCAACTGTGGATGATACTGCAAGAGCTGGCTGACCATTCTCTCAACGCATTTTGTCTCTTTCCATGTTCCACTAATACCAAATGATAGATACTATCTGAGTAGTGTAAGATAATCCTGCATTTGTAACCAGACTGCCCAGCCAATCACTAACCTTTCCCAAGAAAACTGTGCCTAATCACATTGATGTGATCTGACAATTATAGCTCTCTACAAAAATAGTGAGATTTCAGTCAAACCTGAAGAAAAGTTTTTAAAAAGTCAATGAAGTATTAATCACTCTATCACACCACACAATCAGAAACCCAGAACCAGAAACCTTTTCCAATCAGTGCACAATGCTGCTTTGTGTAATTTTATAGCTGAAGAAAAACCTTGCATCCAGGGGCAAATAGCAAGGTATTCCCTCTGATATACATGTATCTTTAACTATGTTAAATATGTTCTACTTTCTCCAGTAACATCAAACTGCCAGACAAGCTTTTGATTTTTTTTTTTAATCTGAAGAAAAAATAGTTGGACAAACTTGGCAAAACGGAGGACTCGGTGGCTACTGTTGGTGAACCTTCCTATTTGTTCTTTAGAATGGTATTAATATATAAATCTTCTGAATTTATCACAGCAACATTGCACAGTGGTGATTTCCTCTCCCAAGAGGATTTATTTTCCTTCTGTTTTGGAGTCCCTCTGAAACTGGTAGGAGGATTACATTTTTCGAAACACAGATCTCATACAAGAGAGGGTTTATTGGTAGATTACTCATTTGTACTCATTTATCTCTTTTCAACTCTATAACTGTTTAACAATAACCTAAGACCTGGAATGCAAGTGCAAGAGACAATATTAGGGGGGAACTTCATTTCTAAATTACAATTACTGTTAGGAAAAGTAATAAAGTAACTACAGCTATCTTAGCAGTCTGGCCTCTTCGCCCTTCGTACACACATCAGAACTGAATAGACACAATATGCTAATCTTAACATTTATACATGGAAGCAGTGAAAATTATTCAGTGTGGAAAGGACATATGTTTGCCTGCACAAGAAGCAGCAGCCTTCAAAGTGAACAATACAGTCTTAGTCACTGCTGTGTGGGTGGGAAGGAGAGAACTAAAGTTGGATTGCCTGTTCTAGACTCCATTCTAAATGTTTGAGCTGCTTAAAAATACAGCAGTTTCAAACATTCTGTGGTGGTGCATAACAATTTGGTGGGAGGGGGGAACGAGCTGCATGAAATTTGGGAATAATGAGCAGTGGGAATAAGGATAAAATATTTTTTAAGATCTTGGCTAGCCTATGTAGTCCTTGGATTGCAAAAAAATTCAGATAGTCTATAACTGAAATAAGTGAGATAAGAGAAAATCTTTTAAGTCTTGGCTATCATCTAGTATTTGACTGGATTTGTATAACCTAAAGCTTTAGCTATTATTTGATTCATAACAAAATGCAATTCTGTTCCAATCCACAGGTTTAATAGTGGCTGCTTTAAAATGTTAGAATGTGCAGCACATAGATAATAGTCCTCGATTTATGACAATTGAGCCCAAAATTTATGTTGCTAAGCAAGTTATTTGTTAAGTGAATTTTGCCCTATTTTAAGACATTTCTTGCCATAGTTTCTTGTCAGAAAGTCGCAAAAGGGGATCACGTGACCCTGGAATGCTGCAATCATAAATATGAGTCAGTTGCCAAGAGTCTAAATTTTGATCACTGACCTTTGGGATGCGACAACGGTTGTAAGAGTGAAATATGATCATAACTCACTTTTTTAATGCCATTGTAATTTTGAACAGTCACTAAATGAACTGTTGTAAGTCAAGGATTACTTGTACATTGTGGTTATCTTTATGGAATAAAACCACATTGCCATAAAAGCAATACTGGCACGTAAGGCACCTAATTGCATTATTGCATTTTGATGCCATCAGTGTTTGAACTTCCCTTTTGATTTCAGTAATAGAACAGGAGCCAAAATTAACAGAAGTACCAGTGTGTAAATACTGAGGCTTACAGAAATATTGGATGAATTTAAAAATAATACAAGGGATACACACTCTCCTCCCCACATCCAGCATGACTGTAGGTAAAAGAAAGTGGGACTTCTGGTGATTTTAAGGCAGCTGTTTACACAGTTCTCAGACCTATATAGAGCAGAATAGAAGAATGGATAAGGGCTGGCTGCTGGCTTATAGGTAAATAAAATTAGAATGTTTCAATATTTCATCTATCCGTTTTATCAGAAACAAGAGGTAATAGTTGCTATTTATAGAGAAAATAATTTAGAATGGCAATACCAGAAATAATTAGGTCTTTAAATAAAACCTGTCTATAAAAGTAGCTTCATACTATTGGGCTAGCTTATAAGTGAGTTGCCCATTCTTTTAACATTCCAGTCTTTTCCCTTTTGTATTTGGTAATGATAGACCTATGAGTGATGGCTTTTAAAGTTTACTCAATACTGAAGCAGGAAAAGGAACACAAAGTAATGTGCAT